AGTATAACACACCCCAAAACCTATTCTAATCGTTCAGGGCCCTATAGCAGTCGTGAGTGTTCGTGTTGAGGCTTTGGGTTGGTGCGCCGGAGTCCTGTTGTGCAGGCCCGGAATTCATGTTCCTGCAGATCGAAGGTAAAGGAACAAAGCAAGATATGAGGGTAGCCGAAAACCTGAAGCCTTAAACAACGCTTGTCTCAGTCTCAATCAACTTCTCCAATCCAAGCAGGTGGAACTTTCAATGCCGCTTTCACCTCGCACATGAAAGTTGCGCCAAGATGACAAATCGCTTTGCAACCATGTTGCAATTTCCAGACAGCCTGAAGCCAGCAAGAAAGTCCCATGCCCCATGCTGTGGTCCCAGAACCCTCAAACAAAGCACAAGTTGAGAAGCAAGCCCTAAACCCTAGACCCGAAAGACCCTAAACCCCCAACCCTAAACCTCTTCCACAAAGCTTGTGCACTGCAATGCGAACCTGGTCCTAGCCAGGTGGGAAGCAAAACCCTAAACCCTAAACCCTAAGCCCTAAACCCTAAACCCTAAACCCTAGACCCTAAGCCCTAATAGCCCGCGAGGTGGCCATGAGGGCGGACTTGAAGGCTCTTGACTTCAAGCTCTCCAAGCTGGTGCGGAGACTTGGGCCAAGGCTTGGGCGAAACATAGGGTGTAGGGGTTTGGGGGTTTAGGGCTTAGGGTTTTATGGGTTCATAGAAGTTGTATAGGTTTTGGGTGCGGAGTTTTTTGAGCGACTCTTCGGCGGGTTTTCGGCGTTTATTTCTGCCCTTCCCTGCCACTGCCCTGCCCTGCTTTGCCTTGCCCGGCAAAAGCTTCCATGAATTGACTGGCTTCATAATTCTGCCAGCGAAAATCGCAAAAACCTGCACCGCTCAACATCCAACTTCTATTTTATGATTTGCTTTAGGGTTTAGGGTTTAGGGCCCTGAACCCTAAGCACTAAAACCTGTGTCAGACGAGTGAGTGGCGTGTCCCGCAAAGCTGGCTTAACAATGCGAAGTAGGAGCCAAAGCAACGCGATGAATCCTAAACCCTAAACCAAAAACCGTGGCATCTTAACACATAAACCCTGAAACCATCCCAAAACGAGTTCAAACAAACAGCCAAGACAAACCCAACCGAGGATGCTAAAGAGCTCGGGCCTCATCTCAACGCCCAGCCTCTCCCACAAGGCCACCTTTTTGGGGGTCTGGGGCCCGAGGATCCTTTTAATACGGGGTTCCTCCTACAAGGGTTACTGTGAGGGTACTGTAAGGGTAGCATATGGGTGCTATATGGGTACCAGGTGGGTACTGTGAGGGTACTGGGAGGGTTCAGGGTTCTTAGTTTGGTAGGGTCTGTGAAAAGATCGCTCCTAGACTACTAATTACAGTTTTTGGTTTAGCGGGTTGCTTAGGTGCACGTGACAAGACGTGTTTATAGCCCGAGCGGAATTCAAAGGGGTCTAATTTTCGGACGAGCTGAACACGTCGTAGCGGTGATTTAAGTTCATCTTTGCACACTGTTTTTTCCGACACCCGAAGCAACCGTCCCATTACGATGCACACAAGCCGAGAACAATGTCAAGCCAGTATTTCATGGACTAATCTTGGCATCACATGTTGGAGTTTCGGAAGTCCTATTCTTTCAGTCGAGTCGAGAGCGAACGAACTGAGGAAGAGGGCGGGGAGTGGGTTTGCAAGCAAGTCTTCAGCACCTTCGTGAAAAGTACCTTGTTTCCAACAGATTTCTGTCTAGTAGCCCGATCCCTTTGAAAAGCAACGCGCACCTGGACGGCTTCCGGGCAGATTGTTCTCAGGCCTGTTGCGACAAAGGGGTTTGGGGCTAGTAAGCTACGCGGCTGATATCCTCATCGCCATGATGACTGTAATTCGGTGACTCTGGTTACCATTGTAGCCTAATGCGGTATATTTTGGAAGAGTGTGTACCCTAACCCCTAAACCCTAAACCCTATTATGACACAGGGGCATATCATCCGTAGCATCCCCCAGTCGCTGCATGCGCTTCCCATGCTCTGCCCAGGAGAAAAGGAATCGAGCAAAAGTCCCAAAAATTCTCCAAGAGTCGCCTGGGCAGCTTGATGCGAGTCGGGGGCCTTGAGTCCTCGCAAACTGAGCCCCTGAATTTAGAGACACTCCCAGTGCACAGAGCTTTCACCTCGACGGAATCCGGTGCCAGCAATCCAGGAAGGCGCTGTGTCGGAAAGCCCCGAGCATCGAACCCTCTTGCGGCTTCCGCATGAAGAGTTCAGCGTTTTGGGTCCGGTGTGTAGGGCCTACCTGTGGCCCAAAAGACCTACCTTTCTAAGGAACCGTACATATAGAAACCATAATAGTAAGGAGCCCTAGAAAGGTAGGTCTTTTCGGCTACAGATAGAGTCTAGGCATGGATACTTGAGAGTAAGAAAGAGCCTTGAACATTTAGCTGCCTGGGACCTGAAAGGACCTTGTCGTCCCGCAACTCAGCACAATCCCCGAGGCCAAATTTAAGCCAGAAAGTGGTGGGTCGAGAAAGGTTAGTTAGAGGAGTTAAGGGGTCACCGACATGCTAACCCTGATCGATGCTCTTGTGCTTCTGTTCGGGGCTCCTGACTACTCTCACTGAGTTCAGGGTTGGGCCTTCAAACGGCCTTTTGTTGCTTTTGCTCTGTGAGCAGATCTCGTTTTGAAAGCCTCAATATCCTAAAAGCCGAAGCAGCACCTGCGGCCTCAATCTGGACTTCATTCTCCAGGTGTGAAAGCAGGCACACCTGCGCCGAGCCAAGTGTTCAAGACCACACACCTTCGGTGTGTAACCAGGGGCCCCATGGTAAGGAGGATACTATCATTACTAGTATTATTAGTAGTAGTTGTATTCTCATGATTATTATGTTGTCATTCATCTTTGTTAGGATTACTACTAATAGTTAGTCGTCGTAGTACTGTTATGTTAACTTTTTTTGTGGTTTTGCAGGGGCCCTTGTTAAATCTGCAGTTTCACTCGAAGGATTCCCGAGGTAGACGATGATGACGACACCGCTTCCCGGAACCTTTGTTACCGAGAGAACCCGATGTCCCTTAATTAAGGAATATACCTTAAATCACAATATTAAGCTCTCTGTAATTTAAGGTATATTCCTTAATTAAGGGGTAGTGGGTTCTCTGGGTACATGCTAGACCATACATGCTGAATCCTAGGCCAGGGCAGCCGTGTCTTCACCTAAGTCCATTTCTTGGGTTGAGTTTTCTCGCGCAGCCGATCGAGCATTGGATCGTGGCCTGGGTGTCGGAGCACAAGCCCCCTAAACCCTAAACCCCTATGATCTCTGCACTCAAAGCTGCAACTTACACTTACACCCCAAACCGTAAACCGCATCGTCTGGCGGCCCGACATCCAGAACCGAGCTCGCCCGAAATCTTTGGGGAGCTCTGTAGGCGCGACCCGTTGCCGCGTCTCTCGAAGAGCGCTGCGGTAGTGTCAAGAAGCCGCAGCAGAGCAGGCAAAAGCACAGATTCAGAGTCTTCAGGGTCTTCGTGGAGTTGCGTGACCATTGCTAAGTACAAAGCCTCCTATGGCATGTACCACGCCCAGAAGCGTCTTTAAGCCTTTCAGCTGGCTAGTGCGTTGCGAAGTTCAGCCATCAAGCATTGATCCTTTCAGCTTGGGGCGAAAAGATCTTATGTGGGCAACTTCAAGTTCAGGGCTTCGCCCCCATAGAGGCGGCGGGGAGTTGGGTCGACGTCATGCTGCTGATGAGTAACCCTGTCCATCCATGTGGGCTCGAGGATCTTTGCGAGCGTGGACCCCTTCGGCCCCGGGTTGCGCAAAAGAACACGGAGTAAGAGTTCCCTTGCTCTGCTCGCTCGCCGCGGTCGGTCGGTCTGTCTGTCCATCTGTCCGTCCGTCCGTCTGTCTATCTGTCTGTCTGTCCGTTTGTCTGTTTGTCCATGTCTATATACCAATCATTTAGTGAATCAGCCAACCAACCAATCAATCAATCTATCTAGCTGTCCAGTTGCATATGTCCATCTGCAACCATCTAACGATCGGCCTATCTGAATCTACCCAACTAGCTAGCGAGCTGCCTTTCGACCTATCTACCTATGTATGCCTACGTGTACCTACTTACCTACCTATCTACCTACCTACTTATCTACCTGTCTATCTATCTCTCTGTCTCATCTCTCTGTCTATCTGTCTATCTATCTTCATCAACCAACTCAGACCCCACCAACCCCGACCCTGAGATTTGAAAAGATGCCTCAAGTTTTCTGGGTGATGCGCAGGTTGTTCATCGAGGTGCCTCTGAATTCGCAGGTTTTAAAAATTTTTCGGTTTTTAATAACATCTTGCTGCTTGAGGAAACATGAGTATACATGGTTTTTATTAAAATATTTTTCGGGTTTTAATAAAATCTTTTAGGTTTTTAAAACAGGTTCGTTCAACCAATTTGTCTGGCGTGATCAGTGGGGCCGAGAATTGTTTACAAACCTTCTTTAAACGGCTTTTGCCGGGGGTTGGGGTTCCAAGTTCGCTGGCAATATCTATCTATGTATCTATCTATCTGTGTCTATCTATCTATCTATCTATCTAGTTATTTGTATATCTATCTATCTATCTATCTATCTATCTATCTATCTATCTATATATCTTTGTTATCTACCTACTTATCTATTTATCTGTCGATCGATCTATCTATCTATTTAACCATCTATCTATCTATCTATCTATCTATCTCGCTATCTATCTATCCGTGTATCGTTCCGTCCATCTATAGATCGATTCATCGATCTGTCTCGCTCATGGCCCCTCTGTACGCCTTCTCCTGCGAAAGAAACAGAAGTTGACTTTTGTGTTTGCGCTGGTCTGTCCACATCTGCATCTGCAAGTGCATGGTGAGGCCGTGAATTTTCCGGCTCGGTTCACGTTGGAAGATGGCAGGCGTCCGGGCATCACGATGTAGTTGCAATTGTGTTGTAGGAGAGCTGGTCGACTGTACCGTGGATCGCTATGTTTCGGCTACCGCGAACACTGTAACACTCCGACTGCTCCTGCTGCTTGTTGCGCCCCTCTCTTCCTGCTCTTCACATGTCCTCCGCTAAGCGCTGCAGCAACGACTACTCTAGTACTTCCTGCGGCTGCGACGGCTACGGCTACAACAGCAACAACGACTGCGAGCCTCTCTACTGCTGCTACTGCTGCTACTACTGCTCCTGCTGCTGCTACTATTACCACCACCGCCACCACCGCCGCCGCCGCCGCCGCCGCCCCACCGCCACCGCCACCGCCACCGCCACTGCCACCGCTACTGCTACTGCTACTCCTACTCCTACTCCTTCTTATTCTCCCTTCTCCTTTTTCTTCTCCTTTTTGCTGCTGCTGCTGCTGCTACTGCTGCTACTGCTGCTACTGCCGCCGCGACTAAACGGCTCCTGCTTCTTTCCTGCTCCGACTAGTATTTGGTACCAGTGCTATCATTACCATGAGACAAAGCCACAGAGCAGTAGTATGAGGTCTACAGGGGATGCGTAGTCCTTGTTGCTGTCGCGCTTGGTGTGGCCTTTGTTTTGTAGGCTTGAGATTGTGTGTCATTCGTGTAGCATCAATGTCGTCGTTGGTACAGCTGTCGCACCAATGTCCAAGTCTCCTGTCAACGTCCGGCGCAAGCCTACACTCTAATGTTGAAAAGAGAGCAGCTGCTGCAGCACAGTAGGGCAAGCCACGCCAAGAAACAGCCCGAAGAAAGATTGCAGCTGAGGGGTACTGTTATTAGAACCCATGAAGCCAGTCGGAGAACTCTTAAACAGAGCCTTAAACACAGCTGCAAGCTTCTCCCTGAAACCCTAAGCCCCTGAAACTCGTGTAATCTCGGGTGCCCTAAAGCCACACACGATTGTATCTGGTCATGAACACGAGGCGCGGTCACAAGTGTTCATGCCCAAACCCTGCTGTTTGCAGCATGTTTGTTTCTTTCTACAACATGTTGCGGGAGGATGTTTGATGTTCAGCAACACGAGGCGCTGTCGCAAGTGTTCATGCCATTTTGCAAGCATGCCCAAAACCCTGCTATTTACGATTTCGCCTCTTTGTACAACCTGCGTCTCGTTGAATACATCTACAGCTGGGTCTGGCGCTCGCAGTAGGGTCCCAAAGAGGATGTCACAGATCACTTGCAAAACGTGTGCTACAATGAGTGCCCTAAACTTGAGTCCCTGGATTTCCTGAAGCACGAATCCCTCCATTGACGCAGCCACACACACGAAGTCATGTAATTTCCCGCACTTGCCGCGTAGGCCCTAAAGCATACAGGCCCGCCGCCACGCATCCAGATATCGACGGGCGACCCCCTAAACCCAAAACCCAAAACCCTAAACCCTAAACCCTGAACCCTGTAGCCATTTTGGCTCAAGCCATTTTGGCTCAAGCCATTTTGGCTCAAGATATCGGCTCAGAAACGCCTCAAACTTGTCTCTGGGACTCTGTCATTCTAGGGTATTGGTGCTCCTGCTCTGCCTGCTTCCCCCTTACCACACCGTTAGGGACCGTGCGTAGTAACTGGACCAACAGAAGAAGAGAGAGAGAGAGAGAGTTTTTGAGAGCGTGGTTGACAGACATGTCGGAACGCAAAGATTTCTTGAGCCCGGAAGAGGTTGAGAGATTGCATGACATCAGAGGTCGTGATCTTAGGGTCGAGGAGGCTGCTGAGAGGCGCCGACGAGCTGGGAGTTCCCTAGAAGGGGCTGAGAGGGTGGATGCTGTGTTCCCGGGGGGTCAGAGGGCCAGACTTTTTCAGAAGAATCTATCCGAGGACAGGAACCGTGAAGCCAAAGAAGAGATTGCTCTGCCTCCGGTTGGTAGACATACTGAAGCATTAGAACACCCACTCGGCAACCAGGCTCAGGCTCCGAACCAAAACCCTTCCCCAACCCTGGAACATCTACAGCAGAGGTGCTGGACAAGGAAACGAAGCTCTCCAAACGACCCGGCGCAGTCCCAGTGCCCGACTTTAAGAAGCCGAAGCTTACCAACGACCAGGAGATGGAAGTGAAGATTGAACCTGGTGAGTCGATAAATTCGCAAGAAACGGATGTTGAGATACCCGCCCTGTCCCAAGCAGACTC